CTGCCTTATTCCTGAGGTAACTCCTCTGGTCCTCAGGTAATCACCCTATCCCTGTGGTAACTGCCCTATTCCTGTGGTAACTGCCCTATTCCTGAAATAACTGCCTTATTCCTGAGGTAACTCCTCTGGTTCTGAGGTAATCATCCTGTCTCTGTGGTAACTGCCCTACTCCTAAAATAACTGCCCTATTCCTGAGGTAACTCCTCTGATCCTGAGGTAATTTCCCTGTCCCTGTGGTAACTGCCCTGTTCCTGAGACAACTTCTCTGTACCTCAACCAATTGTCCTTGTCCTGGTACATAAAAGGAGAAATAAAATTTTTGAGCCTCTAGATTACTTTTAGTTAGAGCAGCAATATCTGTGATTTAAGATAAAATACATTATGTTTTTAAATACAGTTTTTGGAATTTACACATTATTTAAGATTCCACGTGACTTAGCTTAACCAATATGCTTCCTTCCAGGATTATTGATGCTAAGAGATAGAAGCCTGGAATTCAGTTGCCTTTCTGGCAGTACCCATGGAGAAGGCTGACAATTCTCCTCTAAACCCAACACCAGTTCTTCCTGACGAGCTTCTAATTCATGAGCTTCTAAGTCATTCAACTGGCAAGGAAATAAAACCCACGTGCCCCGCTGAGTTAAAAACGCCTAGTTGTGAGGAAAAAGCCAAGTTGGGTGAACCTGAAGTGAAGACTTTGAGAACTAAGAGTGACATGAGCCCCTCAAAGTCAGGAGAGATGGACACCGGCGGGGAATTATCAGGGTAGGTGTCATCAGGGCATCGAAATGCAAGAGAAGTTGCCTACGTCAGTACTTGGTTCTCCTAGCACAAAGCATAGTTGATCCACCCAAAGAGAAACGCCCCAAAACCATCTCCAGGGTGGCCGGAAGCTCACTTGCTGTGGTGCCTGAATTGTTCCTTCTGCCCAGCTCTGGAGGTCACCTGTCCCACTCAAAAACCCAAAGGGACTTCGTGTTCCAGTCTACTCCCAACCGCTCCTCCTGCAGTTCCGTGAGCCTCCCAAGGGCGATCCTGTCCCATTCAAGCAGCCATGAGTAATCTGTCCCTCTGGGATGATCTGTCCCACTCAACCCCCCCCCCCCCATATGTCCCACTCAACCTACTGGGCCTGCTCGAGCAAATCGATGAACAACGGGAGGACATTTCTTTAGGGCTGGAGCAATAGCAAGGGCTGGAGCGATAGCACAACGGGTAGGGCGTTTGCCTTACAAGCGGCCAACATGGCCGACCCGAGTTCGATTCCTCCACCCCTCTCGGAGAGCCCGGCAAGCTACCGAGAGTATTCGATATGCCAGACACAGTAACAACAAAGTCTCCAATGGAGACGTTACTGGGCCCGCTCGAGCAAATCGACGATCAACGGGAGGGCCTTTACCTTTTACCTAACCTCCCAGGGGTAATCTGTCCCTTCCAGCCCCCCAGGGCTGATCTATCCCACCCAACCGCCCCCCCCCCCAAGGGAACCTCCTATTCTGGTCCTCCAAGGGCCCTTTTATTCCATTCCCTTCTGTTCCATTCCCGGAGCACTGGTACTCCACTGACCCGACTAAGGGACCTCTCTTGAGCCCGGTTCCCCCAGGCCCTGCCTGCTCTGGCTGTGGTCAACCCACAGAGCCAGGTCCATGGGTGGCCACGAGGCGTGAGTGCTGCTTCATTGCCCTGGACCAACCTCACTGTCTGCCGCCCGCCAGGAGCTCTTCCCTGGCCTTGGCAGGCGCCTGCCACACCCCGTGCCGCACCCTGGCCACAGGGGGCCTCCTCAGACCAAGGCAGCTGGGGCTCTGAGCTGGACAGAAAGCGTCCAGCTCAGCGGACCTGGCTTCAGAAGAGATGGGCCATCCCTCTGCCAATGCCCACAAGCTGAGCCAGGCAATCTCAGCTCACGTCCAGACCTGAGGGGTGGGCACACAGGACGCCCCTCAGAAGAGGCCTGAGAACCTGGGGGTGGGACACCGGGCCAGGCGGCAGCCAGCCCTGGAAATGGTCCCCTCCCTGTTGGTAAGTGGGCTACAGTGCCCACTGCCAGGCGGTTCTGAGGGCTGCCCACCCCTTCTCTCGTGGCCCCCTCCTGCTCATCCTGCCCCCCTCCCAATGGCCAGGCCAGCTGTGGAGTGAGGCCAGCGAGGCAGAGAGCCTCAGAGAAGAACCAGGATGGGGGCATCTTTCCTACAACACCCCTGTGAGCGACCAAGAAGCCCGGCAGGAAGTGCTCAGGGATTTCTACTGTCGGGTTTCCATAGCGATTGCCAGGCTCCTGGGCCGGAGAAGGGTCCCTGTCTGAACCGGGGCAGTTGCAATGAGCTGGTGACTGACTTTGAGGTCCAGGAGGAAACGGACTAACCCAGAGGGGTGTCATTCAGGAAGGGGAAAAATTATGCCTGCAAAGGCCCAATGGAAACTGCAGCTGAACTAGCTGGCAGAAAGTGCTCCCAAGATGGGCACAGATGCACCCCTCCCCCCAACCCCAGGAATGTTACCAGAGCCTGAGGATGTGAAACAGGAACTACTGCAAGTCAAACATCTCCTCATAGTAACTCACCATTTATTCTGAAATATGTTTTTCATGACACTTATATTCAGTTATGGGACCCATCTGAGGTCAAGCTAGTCATTCAACAAGCTAGCTGCTCAGAGGTGCTGTTGTCTAGATACTATTTTACCGAACAAAAATGCTTTCAGCTCAGTTGTCCCAGTCAACTGGAAATTGCTGATAACTTTTTTGTTATAGCTGAGACATTCTTGTTCAGAAAATCTGAAAATTGATTAACAAGAGAAAACTAGAAAACAAAATGAAAACTAGAAGAAACTAAAAGAAAAAAAAACTAGAATAAGCTGGCTAAGTATTTGTTTCTCTGGTGAATTTAGAACGTTCTGGAATAGAAGGGAGGGGCTACAAACATCCAGGCCCTTCTGCTCATCTCAGAGCCCGTGCTGGGGGGGAAATCAGCTGAGAATAACCAACAACGGGCCACCCTCCACCTAGCTGTCCTATACAGTTTCGTGTCACTGCATCGTGGTGGTGGATATAATTTTGCCTTATCACTTAAAACTACAGTAGAGAACTGGATATTTTACTCTGTTTTATGATCACCTTGAATACAGTGCCGTGGCTATGTACTATACCCCCACGTAGGTCTGGTCCACGCCACCCAGGCCTTCCTCCCAACTGTCCGTGGTTGCCAAGCTGCGACTTGCATCTGTCTTTTAAGGACTGCTCAGAGGTGCTGTGCTAGGTGGCTAACGAGAATGCAGCTTACCAGCTGTCTCTTCGCCTCATTTCCCAGTGCCAGTATTATCTGATCCTCGCACTTAAAAAAAAAAAAAAAAGAATCCACAAACAAATGAGACGATTACCCTAAGAATAGTTGATTTAGAAGGAAAGGCCGGCCAGAGAGAGCGCGTGGGTCAGAGTGCGTGCCAACCCTGTTCTATCCCCAGCCATGCCTGTTCCCCTGGGCATCCCTGGGGGTCCCTGGCAGCCCTGCTGTCTCAACCCTGCTTGGGCCCACTGTGGCTGAGACACCAAGAGCAGGAGTTCTCAAAAAAAAAAAAAACCCATAACGTTTGCAAGAAGTAACGGGTGAGCCCAGTGGAACTCACCAGCAGTGCAAACTCGGCCTGCTTCCCTGAGCCCTCCCCAAGCACATTGGCGGTAAAGGGTAAAGGCCTTGCCAGCTGTGACGGGGGATTTCCAGGAAACCTGGAGGACCATCACCACACCTGCCACCAGAATGCCTCACCCAAGGCCAGCTGGGTTAGCAGATGACAGTGACACTGGCCAGGCTTCCTCATTCCACCCTCCGAGACCAGGCTGACACCCTGGCCCATTGGTAGCATACCCGCCTGCCAGAGGGTGCCCGCTCCCACACCTGGTTAAGGGGGCAGGCTGAGGGGTGGGCATCGGGCGTGGGTCCAGACCAGGCTGAACCAGGCTGGGGCTGTGTGTCCTTGAAGCCGCGAGAGAGACAGTACTGGGGTTGGGATGTTGGCTGGATTCCCGACCTTCCCAGTTTGAGTTCCCTGGCACCACAAAGGTCACTGCTGAGCACAGAGCCAAGAGTCATCCCTGAGCACCCCAATGCTCCGGGACTCGCCAGTCACCAAAGCTCGTCTTCTTCCTGCACGGTAGGCTCAAGGAGAGGGCTCCAGGAAAGGGATTCGGAGGCGAGGCTTGCCCCTGTGTCCTCAGCTTAAGGAGAGCTCCGGGCCCTCACCCACAGCCCCCCCAACCCAGCCCGCGGGACCCCAACAAAGAGACAGCTGCGGCAGCGGTCAGGGCCTGTCTGGGCTGGTGCCACGGGCAGGGAAACCTGCGCGGGAGAGGTCGCTCTCCGGCGGCGGCCAGCGCCTTCCCCTCCCTGGGCCCCGCGGCAGAGGGTCCTGCTGACCCCCTGCTCGGGGAGCAGCGCGGCGCGGGGACGCTCACCCGTCCTAGTCCCCTCGGCCTGCGCTGGTGTCCGCGGTGCCGGACCCCGAAGGTCCCGGCGGGCCTGCTGACCGAGCTGGAGCGCGATCGCGGCCGGGACGCTCGGAAACGCAGAGCCTGGGGGGCCTCTCGCGCGCACTCCGGGGTCCCGGGGGCTCCGCCGCTGGGGGCGGGGGGCGCCCGGCGGTCCGGACCGGCGCGGCGGCGGGCAGCGGCGTTGCCCCCTGGTCCTCGGGGCCCGAAGTTTCCCCGGGGGCGGGGAAGGGGCGCGCTGGGGGGGGGGGGGGGTTGCCGCTCAGTCCGTTACGCGGGTGCCGGGGGTCGGCGGGCGCACGGGCGGGGTGAGGGGGGCCGGCGGACACGCGCCGCCTCCGGGCTGCAGCGCGCGCGGCCGGGGATGCTGGGGGGGGTCCCCGCCCGGAGTCGGGGGTCCCGGCGCGCCGCGGTCTCCCCCCAGCGGCCGCGCGGGGCGCCGGGGAGCGGGCGGGGGCGGCGGGCGCGGGCAGCCTCGGCTCCGCCCCGCGCCCCCCCCCGGCCGGCGGGGCCGCCCCCTCCGCGCCGCGCCGCGCTCAGACGGAGCCGCCGCGCCTGCGATGCTGCCAGGCGCCGCCGCAGCGCCCGCGCCCGGGGCCCCGCGGTAGCCGGCGGCGCACAAAGGCGCGCGGAGCCCGGCCCGAGCCGCGATGGCCACGCTGCTGCGCAAGATCGGGCTCATCCGCCTGCACAACCGCGACACCGAGGACCCCAAGCACCCGCACAACCACCGCGCCGCGCCCGCCGGCCCGCACCGCGCGTCGCTGCGCGGCAAGGGCGGCGCCAAGAGCGGCCACAAGCCGCCGCCGCCGCCGCCGCCGCCGCCGGTGCCCGCGGGCGACGCCAGCCCCGGGCCCGGCCAGGCCAAGGGCAGGCGCGCGGCGGAGCCCGCGGCGGGCGCGGCGGGCGCGCAGGGCGCCAGGGCGGGGCCCGGGCCCGCGGGGGCGGCGGGCGGCAGCCTGGTCCCCGCCGCGCGCCAGCAGCACTGCACGCAGGTGCGCAGCCGGCGCCTCATGAAGGAGCTGCAGGACATCGCGCGCCTCAGCGACCGCTTCATCTCCGTGGAGCTGGTGGACGAGAGCCTGTTCGACTGGAACGTGAAGCTGCACCAGGTGGACAAGGACTCGGTGCTGTGGCAGGACATGAAGGAGACCAACACCGAGTTCATCCTGCTCAACCTCACCTTCCCCGACAACTTCCCCTTCTCGCCGCCCTTCATGCGGGTGCTCAGCCCGCGCCTGGAGAACGGCTACGTGCTGGACGGCGGCGCCATCTGCATGGAGCTGCTCACGCCGCGCGGCTGGTCCAGCGCCTACACCGTGGAGGCCGTCATGCGCCAGTTCGCCGCCAGCCTGGTCAAGGGCCAGGTAGGAGCGGGCCGCGCGCGCCGGGGGACGCGCCGGGCGGGGGAGGGTGCGCCGGGGAGAGGAGCGCGCCGGGAGGAGGGATGCTCCGGGCGGGGAGGGACGTGCCCGGGAGCGGGGGCGGACGCGCCGGGGGACTCGCCGGGCGCCCTCCGAGCCGGCCCGCGCCCCGGGCGGGCCTCGGTCTCGCCCTCCTCCTCGCCTCCCGTCCCGGGGCCGCCCCCGGCTCGCCCCTCGCCCCTCGCCCCTCGCCCCCCTCCGCCGCCGCGCTCGCCACTTTTCCTCCTCCCCGGCGCCCGCGTCCCTGCGCCCCTGCCCACCGTCCTTGCCCTTCCGCGCCGCCCAGCAGCGCCCCGTTGTCTGCGTGCGCCACTCGCCAGCGCCCACCTCACCCTCCACTTCCTCTCCCTGCTTTTCCCCACACTTCACCTCGCCCATCTCCTACCCCCCACCCCCATCTCCGCGGGGTGGAACTTGTCCGCAGAGAGTTGCCCAGCCTGGTTATCCGCCCCCGCTCCCCCCCCCCCGCGCGCCCACCCCCCCACACGCACAGGCACACACACACACACGCGCGCACACACGGACACGCGGGCACACACACATCCCCAGCCCCGACCCCAGGTGTCTGCGCCCGGCCAGGACAGCTCCCTGCTGGCAGACATGCATCTGGTCCCCCAAGCCCTGGCTCCCCACCTCCGCCTGCAAAGGTGACAGTTTTGCTCTTGAGAAATTTCGCGGGGTGGAGTGTTGCAGGATGTGCAGGGGGGCAGGAGGCTCCGTCCAGGAACCGCCTTCGAGGACTGGCACCTCTGCGGGTGCAGGCCCAGGCTCCTCCCGGCCGGGGAACCGTCTCTGGCCAGGGCCAGCGGTGTTTACCCCGCACTGAGGGGCACGGGCTGGCTCTGGCGCCCACTCACCTATTGCATCAGGAGCGGCTTTGCCGCAGGCAGCCCCAGCCTCCAGTGAATGAATGAAATCCCTCCCCCCACCGGCCACACATTTCATGCCTTTTGCTCTCCCTGCTGCGCTCTCGGTGGGTTTCAAGGTGGTGGTGGTTCCCCCTAGCTGATATCAGACCGCTGCCAGATAGCGCTGCGTGTAATGGGCATCTCTGAGCAAGCCCTCAGCCCACCTTCTCTCTCCCTCTCCTCCCACACCAGATCCAACGCCCTGGGTCCCACTACCTGCTGCCCCCCAGCACCGCAGGGTCTGTCTCACACTAATCAAATCATGCTCCTGGGGCCAGTCTCGCGGTCCCCAAGCCAATCCCCAGGCCTCCTGATCCCAGCGGCCAAGGGCGCTCGTTGCGTTCCCCACCAGTCACTGGCACGGCAGCCTCCGCCTTCTGGGGTCCAGACTGCCCCAATGTCCTGATTGAGGACGAGGAGGGACGTGGCAGGCCAGAGAGGCGTCGGTCACAGAGAGAGAAGGGCCTGCACCCAGAGCTCCGCGCCCAGACCTGTGGCTGCCACCAGCTCTGACCTCAGGGCCTTCGCTCCAAGCAAGCCCCCAGGAGCAGGGGTCGGCTTGCTTCATTTTGAGCAGTACCTAGACAACAGGTGCAGAAGCGATTCTGCAAAAACGCGGCTGCTCTATTTTATGATGACGATTAAAGCATTCCTAACCAGAACTCTCTGGAACAATCTCTCACCTTCACGCCTTGCCAGGTGGGAAGAGCCCCGGAGAGGGACACACACACAGTTGTCCTCTTGCCTTTTGGAATCACAAAACTCTCAAGCTTGGGGACTTTGGAAGTGGCCCAGAGGCCCGAGGCTGCAGCATCCTCTCTGAGGGATGCGGGGAAACAAGATTTCAGAGGAGAAATGAGAAAGTTGAGGGTTTTTTAAGAAGATATAATGTGTTAAAAATGCAAATATTTCCCAGTTTGTGTTCATTCTATGGGCTGCTGTTGGCAGCGCTCGTGTGTGTATGTGTGTGCTTGTGTTTGTGTATGTGTGTGTGGTGTGTGTATGTCTGTGGTGTGTCCATGTGTGTAGTGTGTATGTTTGTGTATGTGTGCGTATGGATATGTTTGTGTATGTGTGCACGTGTTTATGTTTGTGTATATGTGTATGTTTTTGTGTCTGTGTGTATGTATGTAGTGTGTATATGTTTGTGTATGTGTATAGGTATGTATGTGCTTATGTATGTGTATATATGTGTGTATATGTGGTGTGAGTGCATGTGTGTTTGTGCGTATGTGTGTTCCTCTCTTTGTAATCAGAACTAAGAGCCCTCCATCCCCTTGCAGGAAGGAAGACGTTGTTGAAAATAATTATGATTTTAATATTTAATTAAAACCCCCAAAATCTCACTTGGCTGAACCCTGGGCCTGCCACCTAGGTTAGGTTGCCGATTCTAAATTCTAGGGTTCAGACTCCCTGAAATGATGGAGAGCACTTTTTAAAAGATGTATTTTTATTAAGGCACAGTGATTTCCAAAGTTATTCATAGTGAGCACTTTTTTAAATGCCCGTTCTCTTTCCTTGCGTTTAGCTTTTCCACATGCCGAGAAAATGGCGGAATATTAGACACACAGCAGCGCTGGGGAGGAACAGCGGCTGCCCTGGTGTGTCTCCCTGGGCCCGGCAGCTCCTGCCGTGGTCTCAGAACCGGGCGTGCTTGTGTCTGTCCCAGACGCGGGAATTCCTACCTGCAGCCTGGGCGTCGCATGGGCCGTAGTCTGTTCCCAGAGTTGAATAGGTTTGGGGGAGCAATCGCAGTGCCTGATTAGGTATTCAAGAGCCGGCCTGCCACCAAACCAGTAATTACTTTCCCAGGAAGAGCGCGTGCATTCCACTCCGGCCCCTCCGTCTGCCAGCGTTTCTGCTGTGGATGTTTTTTCCAGAGCTCGTGTTAGGGGGGAGGAAGTTGCTCTGCGTAGCCGAGTGCGTTCAGGGCCCCGCATGCCTGGTGCCGTCCCAGACATCTCCGTGCCTTTGGGAGGGGTTCACGGTCTGCTTAGACTGGCCTGTTTAGCCCTTTTAGGTGCAAAACCCAATGTTTGGCTTTTCCTGTGATGATGTCCCCGAGGTCACTCGTGAACACTTTAGCAGGTGGAGGGCCGGTGTGAGCCCGGCGTCCGCAGCGTGGTGTTCCGTGCTCACGAGATGTTCTCGCCGGTGTGTGCCCTGTAGCGGTCCGCTTGCGCCTTCTCTGGTGAGTCGGGGCCTGGCCCTCCCGGAAACGTTCTGTCCCATCGGCGTGAGCCGGTGGCACTGCCAGACCTTCGCCCGGCCCCTTCGTGCTCTGCTGGGGCACTGTGCGCTGTGGGTGGCCACTGTGTTTGCCTGTGTCCAGGGGCAGCTGTCCTGCCGACCCGGGCAGACCCCACAAACGCAGACCCCCCCCGCCCTGACTTCAGAGGGGCCCAGAAGTGCATGGGGTTGGTCTTTCCTCAGGACTTGGGGTGGGGGGTCCCCCGAGACCTCCGGAAGGGCCCTCGCCGGGCTCTGCAGCAGGCCCTGAGAGGCACGGCCTCCCTCTGGGTGGCCCTTGACGGTCACACTGGCCTGCTGGGCTGCCCCCCACCCACCCCGCAGAGCTCCCAGGCCCCCGAGGCAGAGCTGCCGTGCGTGAGCCCATCAGCACAGCCGCCCGGCGCCTGCCTGGCCCCAGCTCCAGGTGATGGCCTGGTGGCCCCCGAGGCCGGGGCATGGCCACTGTTGGCAGGCCAGGAGATCAGGCCAAGCCCTCTTCCCGTCTCCGTGGCTGAGTCAGCAGGAGAGAGCAGTGCCAGACAGGACGCTCTCCCGGCCGTGCTCCCGGGCTCCAAGCTGACGCCACGCCGGGGCTGAGCAGGCACCAAGGGCCAGGGGCAGCAGCAAGGGCAAACTGGAGAGACGCCTAGTGTGCCGGGACACACACACACACACACTCACACACTCACACAGCCACACGCTCACACTCACACACACACTCATACACCACACAGCCACACACTCACACCTACACTCACACACAGCCACACATATACACACAGCCACACACACACTCACACTCTCACACACAGCCACACGTCACACACATTCACACTCATACACACTCATTCACACAGACACACACACAGACACACACTAGCACATTCATACACAGCCATACACATTACTCACAGCCACACACACACATACAGCCATGCACTCACACACAGCCACACACACAGACAGCCACACACTCACACACAGACTCACACACACAGTCACATACACAGCCACACACTCACTCTCACACACACTCACACCTACATTCTCACAGACTCACGCACAATCACATACACACTCACACACAGCCACACACATACTCACACTCTCACACACAGCCACACACTCACACTCACACACAGCTACATACACACATACTCATACAGAGCCACACACACATTCACACACAGCCACACACTCACACACATACTTATACAGAGCCACACACACACAGCCACACACTCATGCAGCCACACACTCACACTCCAACACAGCCACACACTCACACAGCCACACACACACTATCCTACTCCCTCATCCGCACACTCTCAAACACAGCCACACACTCACATAGCCACACACACTACCGCACTCAGTCCCACGCTCACATTCACACTCTCAAACACAGCCAGAGTCACATCGTCATACACGGTTTACTCCAACGCAGCCACACGTTCATATAGTCGCAGACTATTGTACTCACACATAGCCATGCACACAATCACATTCTCACACACAGCCACACACTCACACTCACACACACTCTCAAACAACCACACACACTCTCACAGCCATGCATTCACACTCGCACTCAAATATAGCCACACAGCCACACACTCACACAGCCACACACACTATCGTACTCTCATGTACACACACTCACACTTTCAAACACAGCCATATACTTACCCACTCTCAAACAAAGCCACACACACTCATGTCTGCTCTTACTTACACACATTTTCACATACACTCTGTCCCACTCTCGAACACAATCACACACTTGCACTCACACACAGAGTC